TATATAACTTAGCTTCAGCCATTGCTATTACTTTGTGTATGATTTGTCACATTGGCTTCTACTGAACATTATTTCAGAAGCAGAAAAAAAATGTTTTGTGCCGAAATAGATTTGGATCAGACTGTCATTGAATCATGCCACCAAGACTTCCAATCTACACTAGAATGTTAACAGCTCTGAGAAATTTGTTTGCCCCGTTGAATTTCTCACATGTGTGAACACAGAATACTTAAACCATTTCTCAAAGCTTCCAACCCAGCAGAACACTTTTCTAATTTGTCATTTTTTATTGTCTTCTGTTGCCCTTAATTGCTTTGGCATCTTTTTTCTGACTCCCCTGTGTTATTTTTCCTTCTCCAAAATTAATTCTTAAATCAAGAGTGGAGAATCGGTGAAAGAGATAATTAGACTACAGAACTGTGGAAGCCATTTGACACTCCATGAACCATTCCCTTAACCTCAGAAAAATAGGGACCTACATGGGAAGACAAGAAACAGAAATTGGCGAGAACGTGTTTGTCCTTTTGTTGATAACTTTCTGAAGTTTGTTTTTCTCTGTTTGGAAAACAGTAGTTAGTGACAAATTCAAAGGAATCATGGTGAGAATTTATTAGTGTAGTCTATTTTGATTCATTTTGAGATATCCTATCTCCTTATATATAAGACTGCCTGAAAGTATTGGTAATTGTACCTGAGTCATTCAAATGAACCATTAATATGTATCTAAAGATATCTGCAGTCACAGGCAACTGTTACTTATTGAGAATAATAATAGCCAGAGGGTATAGTTTAATGATTCAAGAATCAGCTTTATATAAAGAATCTCTGCAGTCTCCCTAGAAACCAATGATCAGATCTCATCAGGGTCAACTTAGCCTTTTCTATAATAGTTAAATTGAATAACATGCTGTTTAATTTGTACATGTATTATTGAATGAAATTTCGAAGAGTATTTGGTCTGCATATTAAACATATTACCTTTACTTTGGTAAGCAGTGAAAATTACAGTGTTTTCATTATCAGTATATTTAACCTTGGGTAATTATGGATGTGCAAGGAAGTTGAACATTCCAGTGACACATAAGATTGTTTTTAAGTGGAAAACACAAATTTGTTAATGTGTAATATCTTTCTGGTCAGTCTCTCTTTTATTTACTGTTTTTTGGGGTCTTTAATTAGAGAGTAGAAAATGGTTGGGTAGTTGATTTTATATTCAGTTGCAACATTCCTATGTTGTGTGGCAGTTTTCTACATCTTATAAAGATAAAACCATGTTTTAATATTTTTTTGCGATTTCTTACAACTTTATTAATTGCTGTAGACCTTAAATGCTCATTTTAGACATTTTGGAACTATAGCGTTGCTGTGGCAAAGGCTCTTTTGAACATTGGTTTTAATGCATCTTCTATAGAATAAACAGACCTAATTTTTAAAAGAAAATTCTACCACTGATCCTATTTTTAGAGGTAGCTGGCATTAACTACTAGTTACTATTCTTTCAGCTATGTTCAGTGTCAGTGTATTCATTACCCAGTACCAAAAATTAGTTTCCAGGATTTTCCTGCTATCAGTGTTCTAAATACTTTCTCGAAATATTTAATCTCTCTCTCTCTCTTTCTCTCTCTTCATTTTTTGTTTTTGTTTTGTTTTGTTTTGAGACAGGGTTTCTCTGTGTAGCTTTGGCTGTTCTGGACTCACTTTGTAGACCAGGTGGCCTTGAACTAAAAAAGATCTCCCTTAGTGCTGGGATTAAAGGTGTGTGCCACCAGGCTGGCTTGTGTATCTCTTTATTATGGTATGTGTCTAAGAATGAGATTGGTAAGTCAGAGGATATGAAAGTTTAAAAATATTTCTTTGCTATCTCCAATTCATTTTCTTGAAAGTTAGTGTACTATTTTGCTGCTCAATACTATAACAAAGTATCACAGACTTGATGGGTTAAGAAGCACTTCTTTTTTGTTGTCTTGTTCTGAAGACTGGAATTCAAGATGCCAACAAGGGTAATCTGTTGGGTAGATGACCATCTTTTGCACATGATGAGAGGGTGATGTTAGGGTTAGTACTCTACCTAGTTGGACTCATTTAGCTTTAACTAATCCTGTAAATTTCCCTTCTATAAACACAGTCAGAAAATGTCATTGGACCTTATGGATTTTCTAAATATGAGAGTTAAGGTTTTAAAAATATGAATCTGGGGGAGAAAGTTGCATTTATAAGAAGTAACGTTGCCAGTCAACACCAGTGAATAAAAGTTCTCATTTACATTCTTGCAACCAAGTACACCCACTACACCTATATGTGTACACAGCATGGATACATCACTACTAATTAATGTGATAGATATGGCATTATTTTACTTTCTACTTTTTTGAGCCTTAGTTTCAGAGAACAAATTGTGTTTGTATGTGTGTGTGTGCATGCATATATGTTGCTAGACTGGTTGGACAAGTGCCTTATCACTGAACTAATCCTCAGCTCTTGAAACTTAAAAAGAATTCTTGTACCATGGAGAGATGACTCAGTGGTTCTTCCTAAGAAAGAACATGGTTGTTCACAACTACCTATAATTTCATATCCAAGAAATCTGATGTCTTTTCTGGTCTCTCTGGGCACCAGGCACACATGTGTTGCACATACATGCATGCAGGAAAACATTCATAGATATGAAATAAAAATAAATCCTTAAGGGAACTGGAGCTCCACAAGGAGAGCAACAAAACCAAAAAATCTGGCCACAGGGGTCTTTTCTGAGACTGATAGTCCAAACAAGGCAATACATGAAGATAACCTTGAATCTCTGCTCAGATGTAGCCCATGGCAGCTCAGTGTCCAAGAGAGTGCCCCAGAATCCTGATGAGACCTGATAATCTAGAGTCAGAAGGAAGGGGAGGAGGACCTCCCATCATTGGAATGGGGGAAGGGCATAGGAAAAGAAGAGGGAGGGAGTGAGGGTGGGATAGGGAGAGGATGGTGGAGGGTACTACAGCTAGGATACAAAGTGGATAAACTGTAATTAATAAAAATAAAAATAATCCTTAAAAAATTCTTTGAAAGTTTACTGACTTTTCTATTTTTTATACTTTGATCATTTTTTTATTTTCTTGAGTTTGTTCTTAACTGCTAGAAAACTGTATTTTGATTTGAGTGTTTAACAGTTTTATGTTTTGTCAGGCATTTCTTCTTTCAAAGAAAAGGAATCATATATTTAAACATTATTTATCCTTTGGTATTAATCTATTATTTACGTTCAAACACAGCAAAGTGTATAGGGTTAATAATAGATGAGTTTCTATATTAATGAATCATATCTCTAATACTCAGCATACATTCATAAAATCTGTTCATAGTTTAGATGCATTGATTTGTTAGCCGTAAAATATAGTAGTGGCAAGGTTAATGCAAAAATCTTTTCATATTGTGTATACTCTGAATTAAGAAGTTTACCCCTGATTCCCAGAACTTAAATCCCATAAGATGTATGCTGAGACTTCTACTGGCTATATAGCTTTGGGAACAACAGCAATCTTATATTCTCTTCCTAGTGGTTCATAGTGAGCATCAGGAACTGGAAGGTTCCATAAAGCCCTCCAATAAAGAAATCTGTTTTAACAAACAACAAGTCAAAATACAGAGTTGTGGAACCCAGTCCCAATGGATACACTTTGAGTAGTTGTAATGTAATATTGCAACATGAAAATTTATATTAGTAGAATCATCAGAACTTGTTGAGAAAACATTTGCATGTGTGTGTGGTGGGGCTTCATGTAATGTTACCATTTGTAGATTTCTGGAACCATAGTGTCTGCAAGTCAGTTGTACTATCTCTAGCCACATACATTCTTCTACTCTCCTTCACATCTGGCAAACATTGATCTGTTTTCCTCTTTTCTAATTCTATCCTTTAATGGTCTTGTATAGCCAGGTATGGTGACACATACCTGTTATCCAGCACTTGGGAAGCCTAGACAGGAGGAGGATTGCTGTGCATTTAAAGCCAGCCTGACTATGTAGTAGTGAGTTCCAATGTAGCATAGACTAAAGAGTGACACCCTGCCTCAAAAAATATTTTATATAAATGGAAGCATACTAGACATAAACTTTATGATAGATTTTTCACTCAGCATAATTCTGTAGACTCCATGAGGTTTTGTGTATAAATAATACCTCCTTTTTTATTGTTACATAGTGTCCTATTTTAAAACAGACCAGCTTGTTTAACTTGTCATATATTGAATGGCACTTAGCTCCATCTCTGCTTTACTGGGACTTACTAATCCCCTATATGAAAGGTGTTCTAAAAAATAATGGTTTTAAACCTTCAGCAGAGTGCAGGGAACCATATGAAAGAAAGGGGAGTTTGTATGACGTGGAAAGGATAGGAGCTCCACAAGGACCAAATATATCTGGGCACAGGGGTCTTTTCTGAGACTGACACTCCCCCAAGGACCATATATGGATATAACCTAGAACCTCTTCTTGGATGAAACTCGTAGTAGCTCAGTAACCAATTGGTTTCCCATAGTAAGGGGAGCAGGGACTATATCTGACAGGAACTCAATGGCAGGCTCTTTGTTCTCCCCACCACCCAAGGGAGGAGCATTCCTGCTAGGCCACAGAGGACGACTTTGTAGCCAATCCTGAAGATACCTGATAAAACAGGGTCAGATGAAAGGGGAGGAGGTCCTCCATAATCAGTGGACTTGGAAAGGGGCAGGGAGGAGATGAGGGAGGGAGGGGGGGTTTGGGAGGGAATGAGGGAATGGGATACAGCTGGGATACAGAGTTAATAAAATGTAGCTAATAAAAAATAAATAAATAAATAAATAAATAAATAAATAAATAAATAAATAAAAGAATACTGGTTTGGAGGGAGGACAGAGAAATAATACAAATTTTGGAAATTCTCTTCTACAGAAATGATAGAATTAAAGAAGTATCTTATCTTAAAATACCTTAAAAGAATAAATTTTAGTAATTAAGTTCTTTATTATTTCATTTAGGAATTTCAGAGACGCTGTAATACTTTGATTTCTTTGATTGAAAAAGAAAACATGGAAATTGAGGAAAGAGAAAGAGCAGAAAAGAAGAAACGGGCAACTAAAACTCCAATGGTAAAATTTTCAGCATTTTCCTAACTTTTAGGTAGATCTCACTTTTTTACATAATTACAAATGTTTATACCACGCTTAATGCCATAATTGTACCCATTGTCAAGCTGGGTTTTATGAAATGCTAATTTGTTTTAGGCAGAAGAAGAATCACATTGCAAACATACTTTTTTGTTTGAAGAATATATGGGTAGGAATTCCCTTGTTACAAGACTCAGTATTTAAGAAATCCCTCACAAATCTAAGCAGAAGCATAATGCAAGCAAGATTCTATGAATTGAGACTAGGTCGCCTTGGGGGCAGCAAAAGGTTCGAATTGGGATGAGTTGGGATGGGATGGTGTGGGGTTTGAAATCTGGAGTTCTGAGTTGATCAAATGAGTTGTTTGCTCTGTGGAACTGTGTATTCAAATGGAAACTCTGAGCAGACAAGACAGCCTTTTTGGCAATACATTTAACTGCTGGATAAAAATGTGATTTTAATCCTGTTGAGTTGCTGTGTATATCTATGATTCAAAATATTCTGTTTGAGTGTGTTAAGTAGATCACCATATTTCATCAGATCTAAGATGCTTTCTGTTTTAAGACACAGCATTTTTTTTTGTGCCACTAAGAGATATGATGCTAAGTATCATCTGTTATCAGTTGTAAGATACATCTTGATGTCAGAGATGCTAAAGGGGGAAATAAATGTGCATCATAGAAGATACAAAATATGATGTGTTAACATCTGTGTTAAGGTTGTAAAATAACATTCATAAATAAAAATTTCCCCAGAAACTTTAAATATTAAGTAGTTCTTTAAGATAAGAGTACATTTATAAGCCATGTATAAGTAGATACTTGATGACTATTTTTTGATGGATATTTTATGTCTTTTCATAAAAAGAAACACCTTTAAAATTATTTTACAGTGGGTTATATAGTTTGTTGGGCTATATAGAACATTAACTGTGAGTAAGACATTAAATTGAATATTCATGTTAAATTTTTTAATGCATTTACATCCTAGATTTAACATTGTTGGGCCATTTAAAAGTGTGCATACTGGAGCAGAACATTAAATATGTTTCCATTTTAGTCACAGAAAAGAAAAACAGAGTCAGCCACTGAGAGCTCTGGAAAGAAGGATGTCAAGAAGGTGAAATCCTAAAGCCTAGAAATAAGGTTTTAAATGGGAAATTGCTATTTTCTTGTTCCCATCTTCAAATGCTAATTGCCAGTTCCAGTATATTAATGGTACTCTAAGGAAAAAAAAAACCTCTTTGGTTTTGGTTTCTTGCATATTTTATATATTTTACAAAGCTTTCTACCTGAAATGTGTAGCTTTCTATTTTACGCATTCTAGTATTTTGTGTACTGTATTTTTTTGTGCATTTCATGTCTTCATCAAATTCCTCTAAGTCCTTGTTTTTTTGAAGCTTGTGCTGAGGTTTTAGCTTTTCTATGTTTTATATGCTGCTGCTTTGAAAGAGAACCTAGATTCTATAGTTGTATTATTGTTGCTTCAGACTTTAAAATTTGTATGGCTGTGGAAAAAAATGAATTAAAATGATTTGAGGAGAAAGACTTTTTCACTTCTTTGTTGCTTCCTTTTCTATTGGGTCTGGGCTTGTATGTATTACTGCATACTGTGACTAATATAATAATTGTTTCTTTGAAGTCATCTAAATATTTTTTCCTAAAGAAATAAAGGGTGAGAAAAGAAAAATATTAAAAAAAACTTGATATTTGATATCATGCTTGCTGTCAGTATGCATTACATTTAAATTATTCTCTAAATATTCAAGTGGGAAAATATAATAAAGAAATGTCTATAAGAAATGTAATTATTTCCTGGATTTTTTTTTTTGTGTGTGTGTACAGTAGAAAGCAACTCTGTTTACTCAATTGTATTGCTCAGTACTATGTATTTTGGGCAGAAGCTAAAACTTTGCCTGTTGATTTGTATATGATCTTCTGTCCAACAGAGCCAATACAGAGAACTCTAGGTGTAACATATGGATTTAGTAACAAATTATAAGATGATGAAATAAGTGTTGTGCATTGCAGAAGAAGGGAAGCTGTTTTCATTAGGAATGCAGTTATTCTCATGCAGCAACCTCAGAGCATCAGGGGTTTTGAACACCAACAATTTGTTTCTTGATCACACTACAAATCCCACTCAGGTCAGAAGAGTGGGATGGGACGTATTCTGCTCCACATATTTACTCAAGGGTCTATACTCACTCAAGTTCTGCTGTTTTATAGTTTAATCATCCAGGACATGCAGGCTTTTCATCTGTCACTGTAGGAGAAGGATAAGAGACTGGAGAATTTCATACAAGATCTTTACTGCTTCAACCTAGAAGTGACACATGTCACACCTAATTGATTACATTGTCCCCAACTAGCCACAAGACCCTGTGTATTTCCAAGAGAATAAGCAAATGTGGATGAAAAAAAATAGAATATCCTACTTTACTCTTTCATTAACTTATGCTATGACCCACAATTTGCAATCCACGGATTTTCCACTCAAATGAGTTGGAAAGTTCCCAGCAGTCACCAGAGATGGAGAAAATTACTCCTGGAAGAAGTTTAATGATGCCCCTAAGTTCTTTGAATTAGAGAAACCTTTTTTGTTTGTTTGTTTGTTTGTTTTCTGGGAGGGTGAAAATGAAGGGTGGGAGCATGGACACTTGGAAATTCAACAGTCTTTATATCTTATCCTTTCTCTGTTAACCCAAAGTGTATGTGTCTACCTTAAGAAAGAGAATTTACAGGTAAGTTCTTCAAGCCTTTTCATAAGGCTGTTTCCATGACTCAGTATAGTTCTTTCTTTGACCAAAGAGTTGTACCATCTAGCTCTCCAAGACTGTCAATGAAATCTTGAGATGTTGTTCTTAAGAACTTGTGAAATGGTTTTGTGTAAGAGTTAGAACACACACACCTCTTTTTTGTATTTAAAGATAATTACTGAAGATTACATTACTGAAGTTAGCTTTCTAAGAAGACTATCTATGCAGTGATTACTGGATGATAGCACAGTCTAAATAATGTCACTTTGAGGGTACAAAATGCCCTAAGTCTGACTGTAAGAAAGACCCTTTTGGTTCTTAAAGTTTTACAGAGAAACTCAACTGGCATAGCAGATTTAAAAATTCTAGTGGAGAAATAACATGTCAAATGAGAGGTCTAGACTTATGGAATCATATCCCTAGAGCTGGCTTCTATGGTCCAGAGGGAAAGAAGTTTACCACATCAGCTGCTTGAAGGCCAAATAAAGCAGAAAAGAATGCCATATATGCGTATGAAATTTTATTAGAGCACAATGACCCCCACAGTCTGCTCTCCAGCAACACCATTCTAATTGGTTGCCAACCCAATTCTTTGTTTGGAAAGCATGCAAGGGAGAAAGTGGGTGGAGAAACAGAGACCTTGAAGAGTCCCATTCACACTAACAATCTGTACTGAAGACAAGATGTGATTAAGTCTCCCAATAACAGCAAGGAATCTATAGAATCCCTTGTAAGTATCCGTCTTAATCTTGGGCCTTGGTGTTTTTTGTTTGTTGGTTGGTCAGTTGATTTTTTTTTTTTTACATTCAAATGACGGTGCTATGTCATCATTCTCACCATATATCTCATTGTCACCATTTGTATCTCCTTGTTTCTCACTCTGATTACACATTTTTTCTATAAATATGTTTGCAAAAATTTATCCTTTGTGCTGGGTAGTGGTGGCACACTCCTGTAATCCCAGCACTAGGTGAGGAAGAGGCAAGAAGATCTTTGTGAGTTTGAGGCTAGCCTGGTCTACAAAGGGAGTTCCAAGACAGACAAGGCTTCACAGAAAAACCTTGTCTTGAAGAAAAAAAAAAAAAAAGACCAAAAAAAAAAATTTATCCTTTGAGACTCTCTATATGTTTCGGTTTGAAAAACCTCTATTCAATAGAATTACCCACTATTACCAAAATAAAATGCCATTTCCCCAAGTTTTGTCAAGCTTTTTTTACTTGTTCATCTTCTTAGCAGTAGTTAAATTTTACTGCTGGCTGTCCAGGCCTGTAATTAATACTGAAGTTCACGTTGCTTTCTCTCTAGGTTTTTATTACCAGCTTCCCCAATACTAAAATTGACACCATGGTTTTATTTTATCATTTTGCTACTACTCAGTTTATATTTCCTCAAGTCAACTTTCTCTTTTTTATTTTATTTTATTTATATTAATTACACTTTATTCACTTTGTATGCTCCTGTATCTTCCTCCTCTCCCAATCCCACCCTCCCTCCTCCTTTTCACATGCCCCTCCCCAAGTCCACTGATAGGAGAGGTCTTCTTCTCCTTCCTTCTGATCTTAGTCTATCAGGTCTCATCAATACTGGCTGCGCTGTCTTCCTCTGTGGCCTGGTAAGACTGCTCCCCTCTCAGGGGGAGATGATCAAAGAGCCACTGAGTTCACGTCAGAGACAGTCCCCTGTTCCCATTACTAGGGAACCCACTTGGAAATTGAACTTCCATGGGCTACATTTGTGCAGATGTTCTAGGTTATCTCCATGAATGGACCTTGGTTGGAGTATCAGTCTCAATTTTTTCTTTTACTCATTCATATTCCTTCTTCTTTTACTGGCTTTTGTTAGGTAGCTCAGGCTTGCCTGCAACTTATGCCCCTACTGATTCAGCCTCCCCTGTGCTAAAACTACCCACCACGTGTGACAGCACAGTTGGCTCTGGGGTTAGTTAAATACATTTGCTTGGATTAGAATTACTGTCTTAGGCTATGCTTCTGAGAAAAAAACAAAATAAGACATTGTGTAAGCATAGCTCTTCCTTGCCCTTAGTGAATTCATGAAAAGATGGAAGATGTATAAGAATAGTAATGACCAGATAATGAATCACAGATCTCTTCTAATAATTGTTGTACTCTGAGAAGAGTTAGTAGGCAGTATACTGGATTGAGACCAGCCCAACATATGAATACTACTTTATCTCCATTGACAAAGATTTCTCATATCATCAATAGCTTTAATACTGGAAAATATTAGGTACAGGTTACAAGATACCCAAAAGTTTGGTAAGGCCAAAGCTGGTGTCCAGGCTATTGGCTCTTTACCGAGGGATTGGCCAGCCAATCAGAATGGCAGTCAGAATGCTTCTTTATAGAGAACTCAGAAGGCAAGGCTAGATGCCTGTTTCCCCAAAACATAGATCATATCATTTCCTGGACATGTGTTTTAACTTCCTTTTGGTCATCAGTTTAATCATTTTTGATAAACCGTGACAAAACAGAATTATCTTTTACACTCATTTTCCCCCATCAGTCCCAGCTATTAACAATCTTGCAGTTTCAAGGGCATTAGACAGAAAGAAAAACTCAAGCCAGCCTGGGCAGATTTCCGTTTTCTGAGCAGTATACTATTAACTTATGATCAGAGTGCCAATTGTTACTAGGGCCAAGAAAAATCCTCAGGACAAAGCTGTTGCAGTTATTATTTAATTTATGCCATAATACAATGTTTATGTTTATATATTTATAGTTTTTATTTATTTGTTTAATTTTGGTATTTTGTTTCTTGATTATATGACACCACAGTGGTCCTGCACAAGCTAACTTTTCTAAGAAAGGGGGTTCTTGACATTTTGTTTTTTCATCATTTATCCACACCATTCTTTGTCCATCAGTAGTAGGAAAAGGCTTTTAATTTGATCTGCTGCCAACTTCTCTAGCCCACCAAATCTTGTTTGCCTTTTAAAGTTTACATTGTTCTGATTATCTTGTTCCTGAGTAAGTGTAGGATCAGATGTATCAAGAGTATCTTGGAGTCAGAGCCTCACAAAGAGGTCTCTGCCATCTTTATGTGAGTGACAACATCCAGGGCATAAGGAAGACCTTCAGGTAGAGCCAGATAAGGATATCTTTTTAGAATTGGGAGGGGTAATAGGCACAGGACTTTCCTGGGAAAGCTTAAGGCATAAGAATTTATAAGAAATTTCCCATCATTCCAATATCCTCAAGTTGTACAAATATGAAAATAACCCAAGCATGCAACATGTGAAGATAAAGACCAAAGGAAGACACAATGACTGTTGTATCACATAGTTCAACTTTGCTGAATCTTTGCCAAGCAGCTGTGTTGGCTTTATGACTGTCACTGTTTCTGTTATCTATGGCTGTGTCACCTCAAGTGTTCTCCATTCTAGCCAACCCTATTTTCCAATACCAGTGGTTCATTAAGGTTCATTAATTGGACCAGATCTTGAGCTTTTTATTGTGGTATAGTGTAAGCAGTACAGAATTCTTGTGCCATCTGTTTTTTTTTTTTTTTCATCCATTGGTCTAGTGGATCAATCATTTGCTTTTCTGTTGGAAAAAAATGATCTAGGCTATTATAGTCAGATCCAACATAATTATTTTAAATCAGTTTTAAACTTTACCTTCTGTATTTCCTCCAAGATCTGTATTTTGCACCTTTGATATTTTTCTCTGTCATTTAAATGTTAGAATTCAATATTATGTTAGACTTATAAATAATGTGGGCTACATTTGAGGGTCTTTGTACATACATAGTATGTTGAGAATACACATTAGTCATATCTAACTGTTTAACTCACATCATAATTACAATTTTGAATTAATGTATCTCCTTCCAGAGACAAAGCCTGTTTAACATATCCAAGACAGATCATATAGTCCCATATAGTCCATTTTTACTAGACTATTTGGTATGTTACTAATTACCATCAGTGACTTTGGCACTCTGTTTTGCCCTCTCATAAAATAAACTTGAAGTTCCCAAGTG